GTATCGTTTTAGGCCTAGGTGGTGAATTTTGATTGGATGTGACCAAGATTAGTTGGATAACATATCCACAATTTGCAACAGTGACAGTGACAGTGACATTGACAAAATCAATTCTTTGCCAGTTCGTTATTGTCACATACCCTCAACCAATGGAAACTTGCCGTCATCTTCCCAAACTATGTGAATTAATGCAATTATCAAGAATTTCAAAGTCGAAAAAATATTAATTTGTAAGTTGATATCTTTATAATAGGATTGGAATTCTTTTTTTATTATTTACTTTTATATTTAATTTACTTTTTTTTGAAAATTAATTTTTCAAACATTGTCACAAAGAATATCAATTTTGTATAATACCTTAATGAAGTGAGTAGTGATTCACAATTATACATAAATAATTGTATAATTAAGAGTTTTTCTCCAAAATTTTGGGAGATTAACATTAACATCTCGTATAAAGTTTATGTTAATTAAATATATCGTGTAATGGTTTTAAAGATATTTTAAATAAACATTTGATGACTTTAATCAAACGATTGATAATTTTTACATCTAAGTAATCTATACCAAAACGATCAACCATTTTAATCAAAAATTTCGATTATCTAATCAAAATTACTAGTTATTCGGGTGAAACTTTCAATCGATGGGCCAAAAATTCATAACGGCTCATTCAAAATGTTTTTTTCTACCCCGAGACTGTTACATTTAACTGGACTAATAAAATTGTTATTTGGTGACGCCGACATCAATTTCCCAAACTTAGGAAAAGCTTTTGGTGCCAAACCTTGTGAGTTGGCACTATGCTGAACCCTATTATTGATAATATTCAATCAATTGTCGTATTATTTATAAGACATAAAGTATATATGTCAGTTATATAACATCAATCCAAAATAAATATCTAACACAAGATTTTATTTTTATTATAATCTTATCCCAACATCAAATCAATGAACGAGCGTACCGCTCCTCAAATGATAACACAGTTTGTCTCGACAACGTCTAACATCAGGAATAAAGAAAATCTAAGTGTGGATTATCATTGCTTTTTCCTTGAAAAGGACATTCATCTTTGCTTATGTAATCAAACTCTATTAGTTTTAACGTTTTAAAGCATACTCTATGAAATCAAAACCAACCTTTGAATAATTCCCATATTCTCTTTTTTTTTTTTTTTTTTGCTTTATATAAAAAAAATATTGGTAAATTATTTAAGGCATTTGATGTCAATATAACACTTAATATTTTTGTTATGGTAGGTCAAAATCCAAAAATTGTATATATTAACTTTTTTTTTTTTTTTCAAAATGCCTCAACAAGTGTTAGATTCGCCCCTGTTATATAATATTTTTTGTTGATCCCAACTTGGGACCAATAGAGTAAACACATAGCTATCACTTGATATATAAATTAGTAATATTTTTATACATCAAAATTATATATATACATGACTAAATTATGAGGCTTTAGAGTTATTTCTTATACCACATTAACTATGAGTTATTCTCTATACCAAATTAACTTCTAGTTATAAGTTAGGCTGATGTTATTATTTCTAATTGCTATTCCTTATATCATATTAACTATATACAATATATACATGCACTAAGTTCAATGTTATGGAAAAAAATAAAAATAAAGAATACCTACCTCGATAAATTAATAATTTATTAATTTATACAATCAAATAATATATCGATTAATTAGTAAATTTTCATAATTTCAAGAATATTAATTTTTCGAAGTTTAACTATATATATAATAAATAAATTATTTAATTAAAAAATCAAAGTTTATCATAAGTTCTATATAAAATTCCTTAAAAAATATTATATTAAAAAATAATATAACGAAAAAGGAATTATTCCGAATGATGCCATGAATAACACTTGTAAGGTCATTTTTCCTCTTTCCGATTCTCGATTTAAATTGGAAACTGCAAAATAAGTAAAAACATTTTGGATTATAAAAAGAAAAAATAGGGAATATGAGAACTGAATTATGTCTTAAAATTTGGAAATGCATTTTATTGAGTGCGTGATATGTACTTGAGCGGTCATATCCAGAAATTTAGGAGGAGGACAACAACTTAAAACTTGATGACGCTCCTTCGTCAAAAATATCAAATCACGTGTTGCATGACAGACAACGAGAGTGAGTGACAGCATGGGGGCAGTGGATTTCACCATACATAAGAGGCGCGTGGATCTCTTGTCATCAGTGGTGTCTAGTTGGCAGACAAAAATATGTCAATTTGAAGTTGATGTGACTCTCCATCAGCAACCTGTTGTTATCGGATCTTGTATGACGTCAGCCCTAACTCATAAATGCAAAAGATACCAACTGTCTCTACTTTGATGCGTCAACCTGCAAATTATTCCTCTTTCTCTCTCTTTTTACCTTTTTTACATAAATCAATTTCTCATTAATATTTACGTAATTAATCACTAAAATTAAAATACTCTCTTATAATTAATTGACAAATAACATTCATTTCACTAATCAATTAGGGTTTAGCTTAATTTTTTTTTTTTTTTTTATTAAGAATCTTGAGTTTATTTGAAGTGGGTTTTTAAATTATTTGCTAAATCAACAAAAGCCCAACTCAAATCCCTAAGCTTTTCATGGTTTCGGTCTAAATCACTGGTTTATTTAGCTCAAAATCACAATTTGTATTGGGCTTTGGTTGCTTAACCATAGCCCAATATTTAGGAGAATAAAAATGTCAGAGGGTGCTAGCGTCTTATAGAAGATGATCAGTTCTGTTTTGGTTAGAAATCTGTTTGTGGTATCACCCAGATAGTGTAGATTTTCTTGTTCATGTTATTCAAACTTACAAAAATATAGATACAGCTTATCATATATGTATATATGTTTGAGTCAAGTCTTAATGTATAAACTGATGAGCTCATAAATTTGTAGTTTTCCAGTTAATAAAACCCATTAGCTAAGCACAACTGGTGTCTGGAGGATTACCATCATGAAGCCGAATTGACTGAATGGACCTACAGAGTTTGGCTTCTTGTGAATTTACAGATATTGGTGTCGGTCAAAATTTAGTACCAACCACTGATCCTATACTCATAATTGTGATACTCAAACAGTTTCCAATGGACTACTACTGTAAGAGATACAGGAGAAAAATTAAATAACGAGCGAGCAAGCTATCTTTATCAAGTATCAACTAAAAAAATCCATGTAATCTCTATATATGTTGGAGTTGTCCGACAGATATTAATAGATTGGAAGGTAACCTATCTTCTTCAATGGCGTTTCGGTACTGGAAAACATAAGAGCAAAGAAATGTCGTCTGAGAAAAGGCAACAAAATTTTAGCGAATGGATCTCTTCACAAATGGCGCACAGTATAGGTCCACCATTGTAGCAGTACTATTGTACATGCACAGAACAGAAACTATCAGTCTCTGCTGGCACCACCCAACCCATATCAATATCGCAATATGTACAATATACATCTTTGAAAATGGTTTTTCTGTTAATTTCATCAGTGAAACTTAATTACAAATTACATGCATAGTTCAAATGGCATGTTATTAGTATACACACACGAAATGATGAGAAAAGTTGAAGCTTTTAGTTCTTGTATATATTCATGAGTGGAACTGTGCGAGATCTGACAGCCATTCATGGAAGAATAAATTCTGATTCACTATTCTGAGCTGTTTTTTACTCAAATGGACGTCAAGTAATTTTCACTTTCCATTTAGTAAAAAATGGTTGAACGCCAAGGAGGAAAAGAAAGATAGGAACAAAGAAAGAAAGAAAGAAAGTATATTTTGAGCATCCCATGTTTCCTTTTTCACGATTCTGATAAGAGCAAATTAATCACCCATGTAAAAAGTAGAAGAGACTAAAGGAGGAGGGAAGAAATTCATGATTTTTTTATAAGTCCATTAAATTCAACCTCCAAAATTTCTTTAATCTTCTTAAAATTAGGGTTAGTGGTTGAATGAGTATATATAATTTGTACAACACAAAGATCAAATGTCACATTAATGCAATCAAAGTATGATCAGATATAACATTAAATCAGACAAAGCATTGGTAGTGAATCTTTCTAACTACACAAAGTACTGCTTACCAAATACAATAAAAAAAAAAAGAAAATGTCCCTCCATTAATGATTAATCCACGGATGAAGACTTAAGAATCATTTTCCTTTGACGAAAATAAAAAAAACAGTATTCATTCAAAGAAACTTCTGCCAAACCATTTTTAATTATAAGTAAAGAAAAGAAAACCTCCATATGAATACAAGGGAAAGATGAGGACTGGACTGGAATGGATTCTGGGTTCAACTTTATTTAAGTGGGTGGAGTTAACATCAGCTGTATAATCCAAAACTGAAGGCGAATCCTAAGGTAATTAGCTAGAGATTAAGAGGTAATTAAATGGAAGAAGGGCAAAGGCAGCCACTGGAGGAATCCCAAAGTCTCCCAGCAAAGGTGCAGAAGAAAGGCAAAGGCGAAAGGCAAAATGAAATGATTACTTGAATGGAGAAGGGACCCACATGATAATCTTTCCTTTCTAAGTCTCTCAATTTTTTGACTTGGGATTGGGTCCCACACCGGCCACCATTGTCTTTATGGATTGAATGATAAAAAGAGCACCTCACGTGGAGTCTGAACCAAAGGGGCTGTCCAACCACAATAAAAAGGAGCCCTTCTTCAGATTCATTAATATTTTGTTTTCTTTTTTTTAAATAAAAAATAAAAACAATTTCTTTTTCATAAAAAAATTTGCTTTTTAAAGCTCACCCATATAATTCCCACTCATTATCTTTGTTGCTTAAAGCTTTGCTAGCAATTCCTTCTCCTTATCCTCTCTCTCTCTCTTCTCTTAGCTATCAATTCTCATTTCTCAAAAACAAATTTATTCAATTAATAAAAAATAAATAAATAAATAAAAAAGAAAAGAAAAGAAATTATAAGATCACTATTATATGTACTCTAGTCTTTAAACAGATAGAGACCCACAAAGGGATTAAACTAAAAATCTTTGATTCACAGTCTCTCATAAAAAAGGCCATTAGAGAAACAACCTACTACTTTGATGCTATCATGGAAGGAGGAGGCAGTGATGATCATCAACTCCACCACCACCACCACCACCGCCATAACTTTCCATTCCAACTACTTGAAAAGAAAGAAGAAGAACAACCATGTTCATCTTCTTCACCTTATCCTTCACTTCCTATCTCTACCAGTACTCCTCATCATCATGAACTTAACTCAAACTCAAACACAAACACAAACACAAACACAAACACAAACACAACTACTTCAACAACAAACCGTTCCATTCCTACTCTTCAAATCTCTCCCGAAACTTCCAAGAAACCTCCTCCTAAAAGAACCTCTACTAAAGATAGACACACCAAGGTTGATGGACGTGGCCGCAGAATTCGCATGCCTGCTCTCTGTGCAGCTAGGGTTTTTCAGCTTACTCGTGAGCTTGGTCACAAATCTGACGGTGAAACCATCGAGTGGTTGCTTCAACAAGCCGAGCCTGCAGTGATCGCCGCCACGGGCACTGGCACAATCCCTGCTAACTTCACGTCGCTTAATATTTCACTACGTAGCTCCGGCTCCAGCATGTCAGTTCCATCTCAGTTAAGATCTGTAAACTACAACTCAAACTTCTCTATGCAACAACGTCGGAGTTTGTTTCCTGGTATTGGTCTCGACAACACCACACCAACATTTCTCAATTTTCAGTCTAACAATTTGAATGCTATGTTGCAAGCCAAGCAAGAATTGCGAGATAATAATAATAGTAATTCCTTGGAGTTATCAGAGGCGGAGGAGAGTTTAGGGAGAAAGAGAAGGCCCGAACAAGAGCTATCACCACAGCATCAAATGGGGAATTACTTGTTGCAGTCAAGTACTGGTGCGATTCCGGCAAGTCATGGTCATGGACATGGTCAAATTCCGGCTAATTTTTGGATGGTTGCAAATTCGAATAATCCAGTGATGAGCGGTGACCCAGTATGGACATTTCCTTCAGTTAATAATAGCGCTTTGTATAGAGGCACTATGTCAAGTGGGTTACATTTTATGAATTTTTCAACCCCTTTGGCCTTATTGCCTAGTCAACAATTAGGGTCAAGTATTAGCAGCGGTGGCGGAGGTGGAGGTAGTGGGCATATGAATGAAGGGCAGTTGAATATGTTAGCCGGATTAAATCCATATAGACCAATTTCCGGCACCGGAATATCAGAATCGCAAGCAAGTGGATCACATTCACATCACGGTGGTGGAGATGATCGGCCCGATACAACAAGTCATCACTCATAATAACAAAGATCAACCCTTTTAATTACTTTGTGTGTAGTTTGATCGATGTGTAACACACGTGAGGTTTGATTGCCCGAGTTTTTATTATTCCAAATTTTTTTTCTTGGTGTGGTTAATATGGGTTGGCCATGGGTGGGTTGTCATTAGGGTTTGAAGGGAAAGAAAGAAAGAAAGACAGTTCTTCTACTACTACTACTACTACTACTTATTTTTAACATATGGGTATTTCCCTGGTTTGGCTAAAAAAGAGTCCTCTCATTTGGGTTTCTTCTTCATTTTAATTTTATTTTACTCAATATCTTGATCCGTCTTCATCATCGTTTGTGCAATTATTCTTATTTCCAAATATTAAGCTAGTACTATCTGTGTAATTTTATGGTTTGTAATGGAGAAAAAATATGATATATAGCATTGGCGAATGAATTGAGGAAAGTAGCAAATGGGTATTTGATTTTTTCTGCATATCTGTGAAGGAAGGTGTTATTGTTGTTATTGTAAAAAGGCAAGAAAGTTAGTGTAGTGAAAGAAATGAAACAGTAGAAGAAGTAGCGCATTTATGGTATTAAAATTTGATTTACTTTGTTCTTTAAAAGGGTTCCTGATTCTAATATCTGCCATGAATCTCAAGGTTTACTGCATCAATGATTAAGTTTCTTGAGAGAAACGGGTTAATAGGACGGTGGGGTCGAAACCCTTATCAGTTCCAGGTGTTGGCTCAGGTAATGGGTCCCAGCTGCTGCTCATTGCCCAAACCAATGTACAATGTCACTGACAAACAGGTGGATCATTCCTCCTCTCTCTCTCTCTCTCTCTCTCTCTCTCTTTTCTTTTATTTTTCTTTTGAAATTGTGTAAGTAATTTAGTAGTAAGTTTATACTGGCCTGGCCTGCCACCACAGATCTGTGGTGGGTTTTAATGACCCTACTGATATGTGGCCCATCAGCCTCATTAATCTGTACCGTTCATTTTTTAGTGGGCCATGTTTTGGTGGTCACATTGAATGATTGGGTCTCATTGAGAAAAATGTGGAATCTCAGAGTTTTGAGTTTTTCATCCCTCCCAACTCCAATCCATTTTTCTCTTCTCTTCACTTCATTCTTCACTTCAATAACCCTTTTAGTTTTGCCTATGTCTTCTTGCTTTCTCAGAGGATATTCCTCATTTCTTCAGGTTTCTTTAGTGAATCATTAAAGGTAATCTATGGGGGTAAGGGTAACATCACCGACAACTGTCAAAGGAATATGTTACAATTGTACAGCACTAAATTAGAATTATCAACTGTGTTTGTATTTTCTTCCCAGGAATCGTCCAAAAATAGTTTACATTACTTTCTAATTTTTTATACAAAGTACTGCAATCAAGACAAATTATCATACCCTTATTTGAAAACAAACACAGTTGGATGACAATAAACCACCGTTGGATGACCTGATGATAAAGAGCAAAAAAAGATTTATGAGTTCGAGTTTCCCGTTCCCTCGTAAGGGCGATCATTGGGGCTCTTACTTAGTTGATAATTCTAAAATTCCGGAGATTAACTTATTAGTGCACAAGCTAACATGGTGATCCGGGTCACCTCACAATAAACGTTTCTTCTTCTTAACTTCGTTTATTTTGCTGTGGCATGCTTTTACTCCATCATTATTGGATTTTCTTCAATTAATATCCATTAAATCCGTCTGAACTATCCCCATTAATTATGATGAATTAGCTTGAATTTAAGTTAAATGCAAGAAGAGTTGAAGGTATAGTTGTTAATCCAATTTAAGAGCACATGTTTTGGCATTTAATTGGATTTAGTAGAATAGGTGTGGGGAAATGGGGTGTCATACCAACACCATCATCACAGAATTGAAGTGGTCTGGCTCGTACCCCCTTGTTTTGCACATGGAAATGAACCCCAATCTGTACTACAAAATTGGTCCCTCCAACACAAATCAAATCTTGTAGCTGTAATATGGTATATGATTAGACTATGTAAAACATCTGGAGGTTGAACAAACAAGTCGGTATCGATTTAGGATATAAAAAGTGTTTGCTTATAAGAAATCATCACCAAATTCCTATTAATTCAGTTGGCCCAGAAGAAAAAGAAAAACAAAAATCCCTTAATGCCACTATCAAACTCTTCATTTTGGGCCCAGAAAATCTATTACAATAATGCTAGGGACACCGAAAAATCTGCACCGAAATTTTGTACCGGCCTACGTGTAATGCATTTCTAATTTTTTTAATAATTTTTTTCTAGTGAACGGCCGTCCATCAAATTTGGACGACCGTTCACTCACATGGACGCCCGTCCATATTATATGAACGGGCGTCCATATACAAGGGATGGGCGTCCCCATGTAAAGGACGCCCGTCCCTCATTAAAATACAATAAAAAAAATTTATAAACATTAGGACGGCCGTCCATAAATTTTGGACGGCCGTCCATTACATTTGGACGGGCGTCCAATATGAATGGACGCCCGTCCCTTCTGTTTGGACGGTCGTATACTCTTCCTTCTTTTTTTTTTTTTTTTTTTTTTCTTCTTTCTAAAAACAGTCTTCTCCTAATTAAACAAGCTGTTGATGATTGACTTCAAAATCTATAAACGTAATTAGTGGCAAGCTGTTGATGATTAACTTCAATCAGGCCACCTTTAATCCTACGGAGGATGAACAGAAGAAGCAAGAAGAAGGCTTCTTTGGATCCTTTGCAAAGTTTTTTGTCAACACTGAATCATCTGCTATGAAATTTTGAGAGGAATATTCCAGGTTTTAGGAAGAACCACTGAACCATCAATATCAAAGCCTATACCGCCACCCTCAACAGCAAAGTACTCAACTGCTTGGCCTGTAACAGACAGTTTTGTGATCCCAATGAGGCGAGCCCACCTTCCATTGATACAGAACTCCCACTCCACGAAAAACTTATGCTTTCATGTCCAAGGATGCAGAAAAGATCTAGCAACTGCGGCAAGGTCGAGCTAATAATAATAATAATAATATATGTATCTTATCTTAATCAGTATTGAGTATGGAGACATATTTACATGCATTTACTTAAAGTCTGATTAAAAGTCGTGGACTTTATTAGATGATCAGAGAAGAAGAAGAAAGAGAAGAAGAAGAAGAGAAGCGAAAGTGTAGAAGTTGAACAGTATTTTTTTTTTTTTTTTTTTTTTAAGTATGGACGCCCGTCCATTATGAATGGACGCCCGTCCAACATAGGACGGGCGTCCATTCATAATGGACGGGCGTCCATTATGAATGGACGCCCGTCCCTTATTTTGGACGGCGTCCAAATGTATAAAAAATTTTATTTATGACGGGCGTCTTTACATGGGACGCCCGTCCCTTGTATATGGACGCCCGTCCATATAATATGGATGGGCGTCCATTTGAGTGAACGGTCGTCCAATTTTGATGGACGCCGTTCACTAGAAAAAAATTGTTAAAAAAATTAGAAACGCATTACCCTGGCCGGTACAAAATTTCGGTGCAGGTTTTCGGTGTCCCTAGCATTATTGAATCTATTAATCTCTCACTAGGTTCTTGATCATCATAATAATAATAACATTGACGTTCATTTCATTCACACAAACATCAAACATGTGGCGAGCTATCTACTTCCATTAAGGCGTGCAGGTTGGTGGAAGCTCAGACAAGTAAATTGTCGAAGAAACTCCAAACCCACCAACATTATCACCACATTCAAGCCTTTAGCTGGATGAAGGATAATGCTTGCATGTTTTCAGTCACTGTAGTGTAAGTTACCATAGAATCAACCTAGAACAATGAGCAGATTGCTTCTTCTTTTTTTAACCCTTTTGGTATTCTTGTCCTGTCAATTAATGGCAGATACATATAGAGAATGTAAGGTCCTTTACAAGGCAATGACACCAACAAGTCACAAGAGCCAATTGCACATGTAACAGTAAAGTTTTGCCAAATGATGGCTTTTGTGATCTTGGCAAGTGTGATGTTGGGTACCAATTAAGTAACACCCCCGCAAAGACATAAATCACACCCACAACAGAACACTCTCAAATCCCTATACATTCCCCTCCTCAACCCTATCTTTTTATTCTTCTTTTAACGCCATACCATATCCAAGAATTTCTACAGCAATTTTTTCTGCAACCACTTTGGGTGTTGAGTGATTGACAAATCGCTTAGTAATTACTCAAAAGATCTTGAATTCCCCACTTTGTTGTTAATAGAAAGACCACTGAAAGGTATGCTAAATCGTTAATTTAAGATCTCAAAGATTAGTAAGATATACATAAATTGGCTTAGACATCTACATCACCAAAAAAAAAAAAAAAAAATTATAGTGTTAGTTATGCAAAAGTTAATGGTCAATTACCAAGTAACGATTCATAATAATTTAATTAATGATGTTGAAGGCTACATTAAGAACACGTTTAATAATAAAAGTTAAATTGGGTTGTAGAAGAGTAAATTAATATATTAATCATTTGGGTTTTTTTTTTTTTTTTGGAATATAACATGTTGGTGTTGATTTTGTCTGGCTCTGGACTGTGTAACAATGGGAGACAGGTCCTTTATAATCTAATAAATGTGGTCTCTCGTTGAGTCTTTTTCATGGCTACTTTCATTATCTAATATCTATTATTTCTTCTATAGTAGCAAAGTGAAATAGATTGATTTTTACAATTTTATCATATTTCCAATAACAAAAGTAAAAACTCACTTGAAATCCATGATTTAGGTAATTTATCACATTGAAGATGTTGTGGATTTTCAATGATGTTTAAGAGTATTGATTGGAAAGCCAGAGTGTTTGGATGAAAAGAAAGTGAGAAAATCAAAGAAGATTAGAAAAAAAAAAAATTAGCCTTCTGTGTATTCATTGTGAATTGCTTACAAATACATAGGTGATCTCCTTTTAATCTCATTGGACTTGAGAGAGAAAAATTAATTTAAAAATAAAAAGTAAAAGCAAAAAAAAATAAAAAAAAATTCATTATTAAAAAAAAAAAAAAGAAAGAGAATAAAAGTTACGAAACACAAAATGAAAAGTGTTTGCCTAGTAGCAGAACTGATTAATCAAACAACACAATCAAATCAAGAACACAAGAAATACCACAG